AGAACCTCATTGTTGCAGGAGCAGTGTGAGCATGTGGAGGAGAAAGAGTGTTTTTGTCGTCTGCAGGATCAGTCTTCGTCTGCATCATCAAAGGCCACGCCGGTTGCCAGCAGCTTCCTGCGAAAACAGCTTTTGGTTAACACTGAGATCAGAGCGATGTAGGTACTGCTGAGAGGTTTATCAGAAACACATTGTACTTCTTAGATCCTGGGTTGATGAGTGAAGTCCCTGCAAGTCGTTTCTTTGCCATCCCTGATGGAGCACAATTTTGCTGCTGTCGGGGCTCAAACTCTGAGAAAAAACATCAGCTGGTGAACTGAACCGCCATTAGCACCATCAACAGTTCACCCAGAGTGTCACAGGTAAATATTTAAAGTGATCTGATTTGTTTGATCAGTATACTGGCACACGATCACAACACAGCCACCCCCATTACTGATGATGAAGACTGCGAGATTGGGGTGAAGTGGACCTTGAGTTCAATTATTTTGTCAAACAATTTTTCCCAAGGTCAAGAATGAACTTTAACCCTTGAATGTATAAAATATGTACTTATTACATGATGCTGCATTTATATACATTCCTGTCAATCTAGCACATAACACATAATGAGTTTGGTCATCATGCGTCTAACAATACCCAGCTAATTCTTTATTTCATTTCTGGATAGAAAATGATTTTAAAGCTGTTATTTTAAGGCAGAAACGTTAATGTTGCTTTAAATTAAATGTTGTATATTCTAAAATCTTTGAAGGTCTTTGAAATTTGTCATTTGTGTCACAAAACAATGCCCACCCCCTCAGGGAAAATGACACCCTTTGGAATACAGCTTTAGAAACATACCTGAGGGCCACCTTTGGTGATTTTTCACTGGACTAATGGAGGGGGATCCACCTGGGGGGGAGCGACAAAACGCAGTCAGCATTGATTCCAAAGTGACAGTGAGTTACAAGCTTTTATAAGCTGAAATCCCACAATGAGAGAGTGAGACAGTGAGCCAAAAGAACAACGTACATTTACTGTCAGGCTGAGCGAGGCTGTCAGCCATCCTGAACAGCAGCTCCTTCAGCTCCGCTGTGGCCCGCAGGCCCTCCAGTCTGGATAGGCTCACACTCAGGTCACCCGGACCGGAGCCCACATGGAGCTCTGCACTGGTGTCATGCACCACAACAGACAGGTCCCCACTACCACAGGCTGACCTGAGGGCGAGACATATTCAGCCTCAGTTACCCCAGGATGGTTTTCATGATCCCACTCTGACATGTAGAGCTGGTCTGTATGAAGGATGTTCTGCTGCTGGCTGTGTGGCTTCACTGGCACTACCAAATTCTAGTTTCAAATAATGTGTCCTCTCACCTGAGTTTTAGGATATAATCCTCTGTAGATTTCAAGGCAAACATCTGTCTCTAAACAAACAGGTACAGTTACAAACAATGCCACAGCAGGAACAAAGGCAGCACCTCCACTGGAGAAAATCCTGAGGGTCCAACTTACCAACTGGTTCAGTGCGTCCTCTGTGTACTCTGTGCTCCAAACAGCAGCGGCATCTGTCAAACTGCAGCACACAACATGAACATGATGAAAACACAGATTAAATCTCACTCAGTGGCAGCGGACATATTGGCATTAATACACGGTGAATGAAAACCTTCAGAGAGAGATAATGTCCTGGAGGGACAGCGGACTGGATTCATTACCCTGTTGTTCCAATTTCAGTTTTTTATTATAATATTTGTCAGAATCGGTACTACAGATATTTGATCTGCTTTTTTACGTACACAATATGGTTGGAGCTAGTTTGAGTTTATTTTTATTTCAGTTAAATCAAATGTTTTATTGAACTTTAATAACCTCTCCCTGTACATGTGTTTTTGTTTTTGTTTTCATATCATATAAAGTTCCTGATGAGCACCGGAATGAAACGGTTCTCTCCGTTCGGTAGCAGACTCTCATTACACTGAGCTTCCGTTTGTGACGCAGCCGACTCACCAAACACTGAATGTTCCGTTTTTTCTTCGTGTATAGCAAATAAATTTAGACTGGCTCTTCTTGTCCAGCACAGTGCAGTATGACGTTTGGTTCACGTCCATGTTTCCTTCCACAGTTCACTGACAACTAACCATCACCGAGGGAGCAACGTCTTCTTCTTACGGTCACACCTTATACGCACATCATCGCCCCCTGCTGGACTGGAGTGTGGAGCGTTAGCTGCAGGAAGAAGAAAACCACTCAAGGTCTTCTTTAGTGGAAGCCTTCTGGTTTCTGGGATCCGCAATCTCCCAAGACCTAAAGTGGGCATCCAGCATTTGAGTTCTCTGGACACAGTTCTTATGTAAAAAGAATTTACCAAGAATAATAATTGTTAATTGCTAAGTCATATGTCCCATCTTTCATAAACATACCAACAATCACATTTTCTTTTTAGTTAAATCAGGGAAATTGTCAAATTTCAGAAGCAATGTGGTAGAATTGAATTTCTGTTTCTGTTTGATGAAACTGGATATAATTCTTTGACATAAGCCTTCCATGGTGTTGAGAGATTTTAGAGTGAGAGCATTTCCATTCATCAGAAGCTCAGGAAGATCTGGATTTACATCAATTAAACACAAGTTATAAGACATTGTAATTACAGACTGTCGGATTGCTTTGACCACAATATCATACTGTTCCCGGGCATTTCATTTAAACTTGGATCAAAAGAGCTCATAAGGGACAATGCTTCCAGTATTTTCCAGTAAGTGTATTACAGAACATGTATTCTTTCTCTGACCAGCTTTTGAAAAATAAGGATTATTTCCTAAAGGTTACATATCTGTAACACACAATGGGGTGTTATTGGGACTAAAATTATGCTTGTAGATCATTTTCTATTTTCCCTATCTTTTTTCTATCACATCTAAGAAGGAAGTTCATACCTTCAAGTTTTGTAAAGATGTGCTTTTTTTCATTTTTCAAAAAGGATCTTAACCAGTTTATTTGAATAGTACCATTAATACAGTCAATATCAATGGCTTTTAGCCTTCCTTCCTCATACTCTTTAACCATGACTCCTTTCCTAATATAGTGTGTTTTTCTTTTCCAAATGTAGAAGAAAGTGGGCAGTCGCTCATGAAAGACTGTGGATCATGGACACAGTCAGCTAACGAGGGCAAGCTTTAGTCTTTAAATCCATACATTAGGAAGGGAGACACCATCATAGGCACCAGAAGATGAACGTGCCTCAGGAGCAGCGGCCATGGATTTGAATCCAACCTGTGGCCCTTTGCTGCATGTCATCCCCTCTCTCTCCCGTTTTCCTATCTTATAAAGGCAAATAGCCCCCAAAAATATATATGTCAGAAAAATAATAATAATAATTACACAATTTATACCTTTAAATGTAGTGCTTTTCCACAGCATATTCCTCTTTTAAAGTCTGGAAATAATGTCTCTTATTTGTTATTGAATAAAATGTTTTTATGCCTTTACCTACCCAGTTAAAATTTTTAGTTTTAGTTAAGTTTAAATTATATCTGGGGTTTTGTTTATTAGGCTTAAAGCTGCAGTAGGTAATTTTTCTTAAAAAAACGTTTTGTCATATTTCCTAAAACTAACTATATCCTGACAGTAGTGCATGAGACAGATAATCTGTGAAACAATCAGGTTCCTCTGGCTCCTCCCAGTGCTCCTAATGGTATTTTCAGGAATCCACTGGGCCTTAACGAAAACAACCAATCAGAGCCAAGAAGCATAGTTGATTGTTGAGTGTCAGTCCCAGGTCGTCAAATATCGATGCCAGAAATGAGACTCAACAATCAACTATGTTTTTCTTGGCTGTGATTGGTCCAACATTGGCCCTTTTTGTGTAACTGACCCACACTTTTGGGTTAGGAATCACTATATCACTAAAAAGCACAAGAAGCATACAAAATGCTTCTATATTGCAAGGTTGATCCTTTTCAACATTAGCAAAGCCTTTTAGCACTGTCCCAATCTCCCAAAATCATGCTGTCCCATTCAACCAAGCTGTGGGACAAAATAAATCAACCCAATTCCAAAAAATTGAAATATGATATGAACACATTTTGTGTTGATGACATTTTTATTTTACTCACCAGGAGAGAAAATGAACCCCATATAGTTACACTGTCCCATTCAGCCTTATGTAACAATCACCATTAATACAAGGAATCTGACTCCAGTTTTATGCTGCTCTCAGTGTACATACACAGAATAATCATAAAAAAACAGGACAATGAGATCAACAAAATAGACATAAACTACTATAACAGATATAACATAAACAACAATAACATTTGTTGACAGTAAGACTTTGGTGCAGTGGGGCAGAGCGCAAAGGATGCTGGATGTTTTTGTGCAGGTATTTTTATGTAGCCTACATGAGGTATGTGGATATGAGTATATACAATATGATCATAGGTGGTTTTAGTGATTATAAGTGCTTTCAACCATGAAAATAAATAATTTAGGAGAGGAGTCACAGGGGTTTTGCTTTTAAATTCTTTATACCCTGTGTGTCTGGAGTTAACTGTTTATCAGAGTGATGGCCTATGGGTAGAGACTGTTCCTGTGCCTGTTTGTTTTGGTGCACAGTGCTCTGTAGCACCTACCAGAGGGGAGGAGTTGGAACAGGTTGTGTCCAGGGTGAGCTGGATCTGCAGTGATGTTTCCTGACTCTGGATATGTGTAAGTCCTGAATTGAGGGCAGGTTGGCACCAATGATCCTCTCTGCAGTCCTGACTGTCCGCTGTAGTCTGTTCCTGTCCTGTAAGTTGGCCGATCCAATGTGAAGACAACAGACTGAATAATGGCTGTGTATGGATCAGCTCTATACAATCTATAACAATCTTCTATGGCCTCCCTTTTAACTGCATTTATTCTTCCCTTTGTAGTAGGTGTGTCCCAATACAAGAATTTTAGTAGTCGATACCAATAATAGTGACATTCCATGATTTTTGATTCCCAATTGGATACCACAGTGAAAACCAAAACATCTCATATACTTCAACATACACTCATTTATTAAAACATTTGAATTTTACAAAAAATAAAAACTGTGGGCTTTTTTCTAATAGACTCATTTCTTTTTATTCACTACCTAACTCACAAACTCCTGGTCTTTGTCTCTCTCAGAAACACACACACACACACACACACACACACACACACACACACACACACACACACACACTCTGTTGACCCTTTTTTTTAATCTAAGCTTTTTTTAATGCATTTTTGGGTTGCTTTTTATGCTTTTATTTTTTGATTGGACAGGTGAGGATAGACGGGAAAGCGGGGAGAGAGACGGGGGAGAGAGAGGGCGAACGACATGCCTACATGGAGGTTTTTTTTTTTTTTACCGAGCTCCTACTTTGTTTGAGCAGATACAATCTTTTAAAAAGGATAGAACTTTTCCACCTGATCTTTCAAACAAAAAAGTAATTTTCTTGAGCTATAAACTGTGAAATATTACTCTCAGCAGTGAAATCTAGTCATTTTCGGCAACTGGGGAAACTGGGAAACTGCTGGTTGTATTGGCTCTTTTAAAGGTATTTAAATTGAGGGCTTCAGTATGTGATGACTTGGAAATGAGACTCAACAATCAACTTGGCTCTGATTGGCTGATTTTGTTCAGGCATGGTCTTTCTTGCAAATGCCATTTGGAACACTAGAATGAGCCAGAGGAACCTGATTTTTATTTTATTATTATTTGGAATAACGATTACGCTATTCACGTGATTATACATGAAAACACACCTATGAATATTATATATTACACACTGGACATTTAATGTGTTGTTGTGCATTTCACACTGCACAACATAGAATGATATACATGACTCAACATAAATGAAAGACTTGATTGTCTGAGCAGGTGGAAATGCAGACCATGGTGGGAGCTTCCACCTCCACAATCTACACATATCACTGCAAAGTTTTTACATATTCCTATCAGTTATTTGCATCATTATTACAGTACCCTGGCACCCCTGGCATTTGTCTCTATACATAAAGACATTCTCTATCAGCACCAACACTTATTGGCTACATTCCCACTCATATGTCTGGCTGCTGCTGTGTCGTGCTCTGATTGAACCACTGCTCCATCACCGGGGTTCACATGTCCACTAAACATGTTTCAAAAGCATCAACGTTTTGGTGATGTAGTGAATTTGTTTTGATGAGACCGTAACTCTATTTTGTATGTACAGTATATGAGTAGGAGGTTGACAGAAACAAGGAAGCAAAACTGTTTTTCCTGTATGTATGTGAAGAGTCCATAACAAATCAAATGCAACTTATGTCCACTGTCAATAGATGTTGGTTATTATATACATTCAAAAGCTGCTCCTGCAAAAACACACCTGGCATGACAGCAGATCTCTGGCAACACAGCCCCATCTGGTGGACACTGGGATGAATGTTTTTTGTCACTGAGTGTGGTCCTGTATCCACTGACAGAACCTGTGTGAATATTTGGCAGGGTTGACTGTGGAAAAGGCCCTGCCTGGGAAGCGGAGGCTTTTCCACAGGTTCTCCAGTCTTTTCTTCCAACCGTAGACGGTGAAAATGTCTATAATTCCCACAAAGTAGCGACGCTCTAGCCCGTCTATAACATGGATAGCATTTTTGCAGTTGGGCAGTAGCCTACGATGATGCTCGTGGAATTCCTGCAGTTCTGAGTCAGTCCTGGTATCTTTTGCACGGCAGTTTATCTCTTGGAGGGGGATCCCTTCACCTGAGCCCTCAGCTGCTGCCTGTGGCTTGCCCGACCCACAGTCCACCTCACCCGTGGTCCCTTCCAGTAATGGAATGGTGGGGGGGTCTGACCCTGTGGGACTGTCATCCAAGTCCAGAGACCTATGGGAAAGACAGAAAAGAACCCATAGAAATGAGTCACAGGGGTGTTCAAGGTTGCTTCTTTCTAGAGTTCACTGGATCAACTTAGATAAAAAAGAAGACACATTTGCACAGCAGTTGGTTTTGCTCTTGCTTAAAGCTATATGAAACCTACTTTGTGGTGCGCATAACAAGGTTTGCCAAAGAATGTTTCCCATCAAGCTCATCTTGGTGCAGAGGTTGATGTGCCAGCAGGAGACTGTAGTCCAGCACATTGAGCTCTTGAAGGAAGGCAGCATCCATTTTCACTTGATGGGCAAACCACGATTTCTCTTGATCTGCAGCAACCACACAAACCTTTCCGTTTAGTATGCTTCTGCTGAAACAATGAACTTGCATTGCTCAACAGCGTCAGTCGTTTGACTACAGAAATAAGTAGTGTTATCCACATTGACAAAACCATGCACAGTTTTTCTTATTTTAACCTGCATTTACCTTTTTTACCTTATTTATTTTAGTGTTTTTTTAATTGATCTCTCTTTGTAAGTCCTGATTTTTAGAGCACTTTTAGCTTTATCATTATCGTGTTTGTATCATGTTTGTGTCGTGTTTGTATCATGCTTGCCTATTATCTGATTTCTTTTGTTTTTATATTTTTGTCAAGAGGAACGTCTTGTCTTTTAAGCAAACCAAATCTACCTATGGGCACAAATAGAGGAACCTTGAAGTAAGTGCTGAGGAGAGGAGGCTTACCTAATGCAATGTGCTGCCCTTCGAAGTTATTGTCCTTCAGCACTTTTATAATTTGTTTCCCACCGGTGTCAGGGTTGGTCCATCTGCCCACCTCACAGCCTTTAATGTCGAATCTGTGCGACAGAGACATCACAGCTTTCATACCACCATAAACTATATCAGAAATCTACACAACTAAACATGGGAAAAACATAGATTCCGTACCTAATATTGATCCTCTCATCAGGGTAAAACACACTCTGCATCACGATGAAGTACTTCTGGAGTGCAGATACAAAATTACGTAATAATGTAAGTACTGGTACAGTTAGAGTAAAGTGGATATAATGGTTATCATGTTGATAAAATACCTTTGTCTCATTCGGAATAACAATCCTGTGGACACCTGGGAAGTGGAAAGAAGGATGTATATTATTAATATGACTCTTTTTAACCTCTGCTATAAATTGTAACTATAAATATATTTTTGGGGCTTTTATGCCTTTATTTTGATAGGATAGGTGAAGATAGACAGGAAAGGAGGGACAGAGAGAGTGGGGACAACATGCACAAAGGGCTGCAGGTTGGAATCCAACCTGGGCTGCTACGGTAAGGACTGCTCTACCAGTTCAGCTACTGTCCACCCCGCATTGTCGCTTTTTATAGAAACGGACACATCAACAGGTTGACATTAGTCTTTGAAGCTTAAAGGTCCAGTGTGTAATTATCAATATGATCTATTGTCAGAAATGGAATATAATATTCATAAGTATATAGGAACGGACAAATCAAACCCTAGCTCTAGAAAGAGCCCTTTGCATTTTTCACATTTCGCAGCCACTGTAGCAGAAAGTAAATCCTACAGACTGGACCTTTGAGTTACCCCAGAAGTATCAGTTTGAAAAATGTTTCATTCCTTTAACAGTATATGTTTCCTGATGTGAAGAGGTTTCAATGTATTTCGAACTTTGCATGAGCTGTGCGTCTGCAGCTGCAGTGATGCTTCACTAGACAGTCAAGGTCTCTGAACCTTTAAAATTGGCAGAAAAGTAAAAGAAAAACCACCTTTATCAGACTTACCTAGAAACCTTACTATCAGTGAATGAGGGTATTTCTCCAAGTGGTCCATGTATGCCTGCAGATTGGACAGGAGAAACTTGACCTCGCGCTTGCTCTGGGTCTTTAGGAAGAACCTCTTGTCATTCCTGAAAACAAGAACAGATTTATCAGGGTGAGGACAGTTTGGGTGTTTGAAATTAGAGTTAGGATGAGATAAGGTAAAGATTTAGTCGATGGAAGGTCCATGTGTGTCACAAAGGATTATGCTTACGTGACAAAGAAATCTGCCTTGCTCTTGGAGTTGCTAACAAACTGGAGGTAGCACCCGCCTGAGCAGAGGGAGTTCATGTATTCCTCCTCTGTGATGTCCAGTGAACGCCTCAGTTTGGCAAACACTGGTGCTGCAAATGTCTGCATCTCAAACCCCTGGAAGGCAAGGATTAAATTTGCTTGCTTTAAAGCTGCAGTAGGTAACAATTATAAAATAACTTTTTGTCATATTGGCTGAACGTTTCACTGTGTTCTCACAGTAGTACATGAGACAAATAATATGTGAAAAAATCAAGTTCCTCTGGTTTGTTCTAGCACTCCCCATGGCATTAACAAGAATCCACCAGGCCTGGACAAAAACAACCAATCAGAGCAGAGACAGATATAAAGACGCTTTGGGTTTGTGGCTTGAAGATAGTTGGTTGTTGATTCTCCCAGGGTCCCAAAGTGTCTAGTGTATTTGACATCCTGGGAATGAGACTCAACAATCATCATTCTCAGCTCTGATTGGTTGTTTTTATTCAGGCCTGGTGGATTCTTGCAAATGCCATTAGGAGCACTAGGAGGAGCCAGAGGAACCTGATTGTTTCACAGATTATCTATTCTGCTTTCAGGATACAGTGAAAGTTTCAGTTAATGTGACAAAAAATGGAAAGGAACTTTGAATAGGTAATCAGAATGGACAGCATTATGCAAGATAGCAAGGTAAAGGTTTAGAAATTGCTGTTTCTAAAATAGAAAAAGATTTCAGGTGAGAACACCATCACTTGCCTCATGGCTTTTAGTTTCCTCTGCCTTGAAATGTTCAGCTGTGAGTGTATCCTGTGCAAAAACAAAGTGTTACTGAGTGAATGTATGTCTTCAGTGTTTCATGTTGAGTGGCCTATAATCAGAATATTCTTCACTTCGTCTGGTGTGTCCATAGTGGTCTGAATGGAAGCATGCATGCCCTCTTTTATCATGGCTGTTAGATGGTAGAACTCATGTTCTGCGTTGATCTCAAACACCCCTAGCATCCTCCATCGCTGTCTCAAATGCCACCAGTGTCTCCGCCTCGTAGCTCTAGAAGTGCCAGTAGCTTTTCTCCGCGCCATCTGTGACACCAGGCGGAAATCAGTTTCACAACTTAAAGAATTACATTCAGCTGTAATATAGCACATACATAGGCTTTTCTAAAGTATATGGTCATATGCCGAGTAGGGGATCCAATACACTTGAGTATCACAATATTTTCTTTTGTAATATTGTATTGATTCTAAAAAACACTGTATTGATTTTTGTGTTCATACCATCAACCACATTCAATTTTATGCATATGGTGGTGGGTTCTATGACATGTTTTCCTAAAATTACAAAGATTGCAAAATTGATAGGATTTTTTTGTGGCCGATGCTGATATTTAGAGAGCAGGGCTGCTGATGGCCGATATATAATATTGATATTAAAACAAAGAAAAGTATAATTCTATTCTGTTCTATCGGAAATCCAGGTATATATTTACAGTAGCATGAATCAGAGTTATAGTACAGGGCTCAAAACTAACTTTTTTACTACCTTCCCAAAACTCACAAAGCTAATATTCTTCCACAGCAGTCACACTGACAATGCTGCCTGTAGACCTTTTTAATTTATCGGCCTTGTGAGCAAAGACATGGCCTGATGATGATTATCTCAAAATGCAAGCTAATTGTCCTGATTAATAGGTCGACCGACAGTATAGAGTAATATATTGAATCGTAACCCCTATATTGTGATACATATTGCTAGATTTTACAGCCCTAATGCCAAGAGAAGAAATCTTTAAAATTTGAGGAGTACTACTAAGCTTAAGGTCCTGATGTCAATGTACAGTGTCACAAAAGTATTGTGGGGTCCACTAGGAGTGCAACATTCGTCTCCTATTTAATAGTTCCTCTTTGTACTAGTTGTAACCCACTCCTGGGTAAGTACACCTTACTCTAGGTTTAGGAGGAGCTTTGAATTTAAGTGTAATAACCATAAACACAATACAGTGAAGCTTTTAGTTTGCTTATGAATGGCAACAGACTTTAAACCAAAAACTAAAATACCCTTAGGTGGGCTTCTAGTTCTGTGTCTTGCATGCACAGCTCTTTTAAGATCTACCCACAGATTTTCATGATATTTAAGTCAGGGGTCTGTAAGGTCCATTCCAAAATCTTCAGCTTCAATAAAAAAAATCACCAAAATGTGTTATGTGTCACGAGGTGGCCAAACATAAATGCATATGACTGTACAATCATTATTATATTGACTGAGAATACATGAGCAGCATGCATAGGAATAAATTACAATATCATATAGTTGTGTATTTCTCACTTTCCCACTGAAAAAGACCCTGTGGCTAAAGAAAAAATAGCCAAAAGCCCAGGCACTAACAGACACACTTTCTTCCTGACACTGTGGCTGCTCATGGTGCAGATGCCTCACAGACTCTACTGTAAGGGCGTGCTCAGGGGCTCCCAGGCACGCTTAACCTGGAGTGGAAGCACGTTTATTATGGACATCCGGAACAAGTGGAATATCATGTCACATGGAAGAGGGTTGAGTTCAGAACTGAGTTTTTGCGTTCATCTCAAGTTTACAACTTTGACAATGTTTAATGTGTACATCCAAAAACATAAATGAAAATCTCCAAATGCAGAATATATCCCCTTTGACTAACACTATTATGTATTGATGTATTTGGTTATATTGTTTCAGTCAGTATTTATTGTTATATGTACATATTCAATGTCTTGTTTTCCTAAATTAAACTATATGGTAAGTCTGGAAACAATAGCATCCCTCTGGATGTGAACATTGTGTTTGTGAACTCAGTAAACAGAGATGAACCAAACCAACATACATCTCGTCGTCTCGTAGAACTACAGTTTTTTTTTTTACATCAATCTCAGATATCTGTATATGTTATTCTAGCTGATTCTTGTATAGTATGTTTAGAACAGGTACAGACAAACAAAACACGAACGAAATGCTAAATCATACATAACCATATTCAGGTAGTTCTTACCTTGGCTTCTTCGTTGGACTAAACCGTAAAACAAAGATAATGGTTCACACAATTTGTCTTCCCATACAGTGCGTCTGAAATTAGCTTTGCCTTTGTGTATGTTACCTCCCATTCTACCGCATTCCAGACAGGTTATGCAAGCTCTGCAGGGTGTGCCACATGGAAAAGAAAAGGTGTGTGGCGTAGGCGTTTCATTACAGTACTACAAAGAGGAAACCCAGAGGAGAGCAACCACCCAAGAATGTGTTAAACAGAACAGTTACTGGTGCTGGTACCATGTTCCTGTGGTACTCAGAGATCTGAATTGGATTTAGTTAGAAAATGACAAAGTCTCTTGTCAACTTTTCTGGCCATAGCCCTTTGCATCCTCGGTTGATGTTAAACTTATCTTGTTGGTTACAATTGCAGGAAACACAAATGTGATGTTAAAGGTGCTGCAAGTGAAATCAGGATTACGGTTAACTTCCTCTACGTTCTTGCAGTTGGCAGTGCCTTCTCCCCTCCACACTACACCACGTGGAATTCTGCTGCACTTGAGGATCTCTCTCCTGATTGGATAAAGTCGATACCGGAAAATGTATTCTCTTTAATGCAGGAAGGAGGGACTGGGAGACCCATGTTACTGAGGTAACACTCTATATCAGTGATGGCAGTCAGAATGTAGAGCTATTTAACACTTATTATAACAGAAAAATATCACATACAGTCGCTTTAACTGTTAAATTCCTTTCAGATATTATCAAATGTGTATATTTAAAGGTCTAGTGTGTAACATTTAGGGGGATCTAATGGCAGAAAGGGAATATAATATTCATAGGTATGTTTTCATTAGTGTATAATCACCTGAATATAAAAATTGGTTTTGTTACCTTAGAATGAGCTGTTTTTTTTTTTCATTCAACAATTTTTGTGATTTTCCATTAGTTTCGTACATTCATTTGCAGCATATGTTGAAAGTAAGAGTATTCACAGAAAAGGTAAAAAGATGGTAGCTGCATCAATCAAGTGATTATAATTGTGAAACTATAACCAGTTCACCCCCCTCCCAGACCCTCCCAACCATCCCCACTTGTCCCCTTAGTGTTCGAATCAGTGCAAGAATGAGTGTCAATTGGGTTTGTTCAATTCAGGATGCCAGAAGGATTGCAATAGCAAATGCAGAATCATTCAATGATAATGAAAGTAACAACAACAAAACAAAACAAACCTCAGAATAAATAAACAACAGCAAAAACAAAACAAAAAAAACTCTCACTCTGATATTGGTATCTCATTTAATGGTATTTGTAAGTCCTCATAATACTCTAGGAAAGGGGTCCAACACGCAGCAAAGGGTCTGATTTGAACCCGGGCCCGCTGCATATATGGGTCGCCAGATCTACCGACTGAGCTAACCAGGTACCCAGCTTTGCCTTTGAGGGAGCAGGTTTCAGGGGTGAATCCAAATAGTGCACATATGGGGTTCAGAGTAACATCTTTTTGGAACATTTTACTGTAGGCTGTAAAGATGTTGACCCAAAATGTGCTGAGTTTGGGGCAGGGCCAGAACATGTGTATGTGATTTGCTGGTTGGCCTTTACAGCGAGCACATAAAGGATTCACATCAGGGAAAATTTTCGCCAGTCTTGCCTTGGTCAAGTGTGCTTTCAAAACAACTTTGAGTTGTATTAAGCTGTGTCGAGCACAAGGGGAAGAGGAATGTATCAGTTTAAGCACTGTCTCCCATTGATCATTTGTTATCGCCTCTCCAAGGTCATTCTCCCATGATTTCCATGATCTTGCAGTGAGTGAGGAATGATATCACATATATTATTGTAAAGAGTGGAAATACGCCTTTACGATATGGAGACAATGAAAGAATATCATCTATCATATTATCCAGTGGAAGGTCTGGAAATGAAGTGATACTTTTTCTGGACAAAGACTAAGCTGGAGATACTTTAAAAAGGGACACTTTGGTAAATTAAATAGTACTGAGAGTTGTGCGAATGATCCAAGTTTGCCATTCACATATAGGTTGGAGAGAAATTGGTTTGGGGGAGGGGGCATCGGGGCACATAGTACAGAGCTTAGGCTAAACGGACTACAGGCTTTTTCCATTTGCACCCAGGCCTCACATCTATCACCCTGGTCTCTTTCCATCCAATGTAACATAACTTTTATATTGCATGCCCAGTAGTAATGAGTAAAATTAGGTAGGGCCAGGCCAGCTAGCTTTTTAGGTCTTGTGGTTTGCCGGTCCAGATAAACGATAATATGCTGCTGTGCAATGAATTAAAGAATTGTTTTTTAATCAAGATTGGAATGTTTTGAAAGAGGTAAATAAATGTAGGTAGTACAATCATTTTAACGAGATTATATCCGGCCAGTTATGGACAGAGGGAGATTCAGCCATCTGATCATGTGTTTCTTAGATTTTTCAAATAAAACGGCAAAGTTCTTAGTAAAGAGGGAGGAGAAAGCGGGTGTGATCTTGACTCCTAGGTATTTAAAGCTCTTTCTAACAGTTCTAAATGGAAATTTAATGCAGAGATTTGGGTAGCGTGCTGGTTAGGAGGAAACATTTAGCTTTTTTCAAAATTGATTTTGTATCCTGAAAATTTCCACAAATTGAGTCAGGGTGCTGAGAATGGCAGGAACAGATTTTAATGGGTCTGAGACGTACAAAATAATGTCATCAGCATGTAGAGACAATTTGTGTGTAAGGCCCCCTCGTTCTATGCCCGGGAAGTCATTGGATTGTCTAAGAGCGATGGCTAGAGGCTCGATGGCAACGGCGAAAAGTAAACGGGATAAGATGCAGCCCTGGCGTGTGCCCCTGCCAAGAGGGAAGTATTCAGATTGCTGTCCATTAGTAATTACTGAGACTAGAGGGTGGGAATAGAGTTTGGCGAGAGTGGCAGGAGCAAGATGGCGCCAGTGTGTTTGTTGGCTTGCCGTCAGCTCCGTCAACTCTTTCCTGTCCGTTTTGTGCTACGTTTGTCTGTATTGGCACTCATGCTATGTTGGCGCTGTTCTGTTGCTGCTACATGGACCTATGATCAGCAGACTTTGCTGCATCTCAGAAACGCACTGGTGACCCATACTAGTGGGTCTCCTGTCCCTTACGACGGATGTCACCCTCTGTTTATCTACCCCACCGCGGAGTGTGCCCTTCGGCTACTTTGCTGCATCTCTTGCAAGCTGCAAGCGTCGGAGGCGCTGAAGCAAACACAGAGATGAAGATCAGGAGAGGAGCGAGTGTTTCTCCCGCACAACTAGGGGCCTGCCAGCTCCCTGCAGCCCATCTTGGTCGGAAAGATCTCTACCTGGCTCGTCATTCATGGGATCTAAGGTACTCCTGCCATGTATCCATCACCCTGCATCGACCCCAAACGCCTGTTAGCCCTGCTCGACCGAGACTGCGTATCCATAGCGGTGGGGTAAATTCCCTGAACATCCGCCCTTTGGAATACTCTTGATGCCCCCAGGCTGCGGTTCACTCCAATGTGAAAGTGGCCCTGGTCAACAGCAGGTCTGTGTCTAATAAGACCTTCGTTCTAAATGACTTTTTCTCTCGTCACAATCTGGATTTCTTGTTTTTAACCGAGACATGGATTGGCGCTGGCGTTGGCCAGTCTTCTGTTTTTGGTGAACTCTGCCCAATCAACTGCTCATTCATTAGCACGCCGAAGTGCGTCGGAAGAGGAGTTGGTGTGGCTCTTGTTTTTAGGAATAACTTTAAATTACGGACACTTTCTGCAAGGGAGTTTTTCCACCTTCGAACTGCAATGCGTAATTGTAGAATCTGCAATATCCCCATTGGTTTGTGTACTGATCTGTAGGCCCCCTAAGCCTGACAAAGACTTTATAACTGAATTCTCTGACTTTCTCTCCCATTTTGTGTCACTACATGATCGTGTCCTTATACTTGGTGACTTCAATATCCACATCTGCTGTCCAGATAGACCGATGGTTACCGAATTCTGTGGTGTAATAGATGCCCTTGGCCTTACACAACATATAAATAATGCTACGACACATACTTGATCTCATTTTATCTTATGGTTTTACCGTTGATAATATTGTGATTGAGGATGCCACTTTCTCTGATCATAAGCCTATTATATTTGACATCACCCTCTCCAGTTCCCTGCAAACTGCCAGAACTCAGGGCCGTTACTCCCGCCACATACACTTTCTTACCGCAGCTCAGTTTTCTAATAGCTTTCTGAGTAAAACTGTTGCATCTACCGTTGCAACAGCGGCATCATCCTCCTCTAGCCCAGATGAACTAGTTACCCTTTTCCACTCATCTTGCTCTTCCATACTTGACTCCGTAGCTCCTCCCACATACACCCACCCAAAACTAAAATCTCAATATTGGTTAGATGAGGCCACACGCTCTCTCAGGCAGGCCTGTTGTAAAGCTGAAAGGAAATGTAAAAAGGATCATCTCACTGTCTCCTTTGAAATTTTTAAATCTGCATTAGCTTCCTTCCAGGCAGCAGTAAAAAAAGCTAGAGCAAAGCATCTTTCTGATTTGATCAGAAAACACTTAAACAGACCCAAAATTTAATTTAGTACTATAAACTCTGTTATCAAACCCCCAAATTCCCCAGTTGCTGATGTATCCACTGATACCTGTGAGAAATTTCTCAAGTTTTTTACCAACAAAATTGAGAAAATTAGATCATTCTTTACCCCCAACTCATCTGTTACTCCGCCTGATTGCTCAGGTGTATCAGCTATTTTTAACCAATTTCAGCCCATCACTTTCAGTGAATTGAGGGACTTAGTATCGCACATGAAACCTACTACATCACCCCATGATGCTATTCCATCCATTCCTCCATCCTTGCTTAAAAAACACAACCTTGATGCCAACTGCCTAAAAAACTACCGCCCCATCTCCAAGCTTCGTTTTATTACTAAAGTTCTGGAAAAAGCTGTTCTGTCACAGCTGATTCCTTTTCTGACCACTCACAATCTACTAGAACCTTTTCAGTCAGGTTTCAGACCCCTTCATAGCACTGAAACAGCCCTGCTTAAAGTAACTAATGATTTGCTTCTCACACTAGACTCAGGTGATAATGCCATCCTCATATTACTGGATCTTAGTGCCGCCTTCGACACCGTTGATCACAACATCCTCCTCACTCGCCTTGATCAG